ATATGTATATAAACATACGTTAGAAACTGGAATGTTATCTACTCGTGTTGCATTCATTTCTGTTTGTTTAACGTGTAGTAGTTTCATTGAAAAACCATTTTAAAGAAGAAGTTCCACGTGTACGTGTGTAGTATTCCAGTTGTACGCACATCAATAGGTAAGTCAAATGGAACCTGTAGGTTTAGCCTTACTAGCTCGAAACGTTTCACAAAAAGAAGAAAATATTTTAATATTTCCAGCTTTTTTTTCAGACAATTTTCTGACTCCGATTAATAGTGTAAACTGGAATGTAATTTCCTTTTTTTCATTTGTAATTATAAAAGTTTGGACATATATTTATGTAATGTTACCCACTCTCGTTGGAAGGAGTAATTCTGTTGTTGTCTTGGTAAAGGCAACTTTACCCACTCTCGTTGGAAAGTGTAATCCTGTTGTTGTCTTGGTATAGGTAATATTACTCACTCTCGTTGGAAGGAGTAAGCTCGTTGTTGTCTTGGTATAGGTAACATTCCCCACTCTCATTGGAAGGAGTAAACCTGTTGTTGTCCTCGTATAGGTAACATTCCCCACTCTCAGTTGGAAGGAGTAATTCTGTTGTTGTCTTGGTATAGGTAACTTTACCCACTCTCGTTGGAAAGTGTAATCTGTTGTTGTCCTCGTATAGGTAACATTACCCACTCTCGTTGGAAGGAGTAAACCTGTTGTTGTCCTCGTATAGGTAACATTACCCACTCTCGTTGGAAGGTGTAATCCTCTTATTGTCCTCGTATAGGTAACTTTACCCACTCTCGTTGGAAGGTGTAATCCTGTTGTTGTCTTGAAATAGGTAAATTTACCCACTCTCGTTGGAAGGAGTAACTCTGTTGTTGTCTTGGTATAGGCAACTTCACCCACTCTTGTTGGAAGGAGTAACTCTGTTGTTGTCTTGGTATAGGTAACTTCACCCACTCTTGTTGGAAGGAGTAATCTTGTTGTTGTCTTGGTATAGGTAACTTCACCCACTGTCGTTGGAAGGAGTAACTCTGTTGTTGTCTTGGTATAGGTAACTTCACGCACTCTTGTTGGAAGGTGTAATCTTGTTGTTGTCTTGGTATAGGTAACTTCACCCACTCTTGTTGGAAGGTGTTATCTTGGTATAAGTAGCATTTTGCACTCATGTTGGAAGGTGTGATTTCGTCGTTTTCGTGGAACGAAAGTTGCCCAAGCAATTACACTAGTAAGCACCCAGTTGACAAGTAAAAAAAAACAAAAAACTCATATTTTGGGTCGTTCTGTTTTAACTCTTACTGACCTCGCTAGATGGCCCAGATGTTTAGATGAACAGTTTTAAAAGACTAATTGATAATTGCAAAGGACAACATAATTGTTGCGTCATTGAAATATTTAAACCATAAATAGTTACGTCAAACTTATGTTATTTTTCAAATAAAAATTAAAACCATATCGTTTAATTTACCATTGCCAAATTATAACAAAGGAAATTACAAAACGAAATGTTTTATATTCTCAATTTTAGCCGTTGTAAACTTTTTTGAATATCAGTTCCAATGTTTGTAATTGTGCTGTTAAAAAAAGCATATCACACGGCAAGTGGGTGAAACCCGCATCTGATGTGCGTGTAACTAGAACTAATAACGAAGAGAATGCTGGTTTTTAATCTTTTTTTTTTTAAAGAAACGTTTTAACATCCACGGCCCTCCAGTGGCACAGTGATATGTCTGCGGACTTACAACGCTAGAAACCGGATTTCGATACCCGTGGTGGGCAGAGCACAGATAGTCCATTGTGTAGCTTTTTGCATAACTTCAAACAAACAAATAACTACCACGTCCAACACTCGATGCCCCCAAGTGGCACATTGGTATGCCTGCGGACTTACAACACTAGAATTCGGGTTTCGATACCCGTGGTGGGCAGAGCACAGATAGCCCATTGTGTAGCTTTGTGCTTAATTACAAACAAACACTTGAATCCTTCCTGCGTAGATTCTAAACAAAAATGGCAGCAAATAAGCGGCCTGAAGATTTTATGAAACATTTAATAAAACAAAGCATTTATAAGCCACTAGTGTTAAACCATAACCTACGATCTTTATGTATGTTAATCTGAAAAAATTAGCCTGAAGATTAAGAAACAGTTATCAAGACAAGGCGATTATAGGCCACTAATCAGTGTTAAACTATAATCTACGACCTTTACGTATTATTTTGTGCTAATAGCACAACTAACAGCTCAGTATAACTGTGTTTTGGTAAGATTCTACTTGAATTTGGAAATATTAATCCACAATTAATTGTAGAAATATAGCTGTTTGCAGTGTTAACTGTCCACGAACCGTAGCTGTTCATGGTGTTTAGTGTTGAATATGAAACGACTGTGTACAGTGGTGGACATATACGTCTGTGTAAAGTGTTTGGCTATTATGTCATGTTTAATTTTTTGTTCACATTTTCCTGGATTATTTTAGATAGTGGAAAGAGGGCTTTGTTAGAAGTGATAGCAAGAAGAGCTCTTGGTCCAACTCGTGGTCAGATTCTTTTAAATGATGTCCCCATGTCTATGAAATTGTTCCAAGAGCAGTGTGGTTACGTTCCAAAGCAGGTTGACCTTCTTCCAGGACTAACTGTGCGCCAGACGCTGATATACGCTGGAAATCTGAGCATCGCATCCAAAGTGTCCAGCTCAACCAAACGCAGTCGGGTAATTAATTACTCAAAAACTTTTCTGTATTGTGTTTTTCAATTAAAGAAATATGCCACTGCTAGTAAAAAAAATTAATTTTAAATAAAAACCAATAGCATCAAACTATTAACACTGTGGTGTAATATTAAAACAATTAGATGAGAGGACACAAGTATAAGATTTGGAGAAAGTTTTATTTTTCTAACAAACTGACCGGTTTATGGAACGATTTGCTATTATCAGTAATAGAGGCCGACACTTTACATGAGCTTAACAGGGGAATTGATTATTTCCATTATATATATAAAGGGTTGGGTTGAAATTTTTACTTTTCTCAAGAGTGGATGTGCAATTACAGTCCTGAGGGAACTGTTACGACAGCGGCAGTCACGCGACGCTGAGAGCATGCGCGCTGGAGTTTCTAGAAGGATCATGACTTGTCGAGGAATCCCGTGAATGTCCAAGTATTTGCCAGGCGCCCTCTTTTTTAGTATATAAGCCTGGCAAATAAAGGAGATATGCAGATAGATCGAATAGATAGATAATTGAGTCAAGCGAACAGTAGGCACCGTAGGTAAAGTGCGTGAATCACTGTGATTTATAGCGTGTGTTATAAAAGTAGTTACGTATAACTTACTGATTGGAAATTCTGCGTATTACAAAGTTGTATCGAGGAAAAATAAACTAGTTTTAATTAAGAAAGGACTTG